AAAATTACAGATAGCGAAGAGAGAATCACAAAGTTCTTATTATCTGAACGACCCAGTTAACCCAGTCTTGTTCCTCGATGCGTCCTATGGAATTGTACTAGAAAAACTCTTCAAATCGTCTTGTTTTCCAATATTTCACTTCTTTCTCTCCTTCACTTCTTTATTTCACTTTCCATGAAACACACTACGACGCGTGCTCATTCCAAATATTTATCGAGTTCAGAAAAAGTTTAACGCAATATTATAAATATCCCGTGTTTTCACGTGAAAATACAACACGGCCATTGTTCGCGAACAAAAGGAGCGCAATCTGCGGGGAGAGAAAGAAAGGGCTTAATTCAAAACAGCTACGAGAATAACGTTCGGTTCGCACCGAAAATAATGTTCATTCATCATGGTTTAATAGTCTCTACGCGGTAGAGTTTATCATGTTTGCGTTTCATGCTTACGGACAGTTATTGAACAAAGCAGAATGCTGCACGCGCCGCAGTTTTGTTTCATGCGCCTACCTGCAAACTAGGAAGCCATTATTTGAAATTATAGCGGCCACGATAGAAAGTTCAATGAATTTAACACAGATACGTACGTACGAAAGATTCGGTTAACACGAAAATTAGAAAAAAAAAAAAATAAAAAATAGCATGGAGAATAGTTTCTCATTGGTAGACTGCGGATTTTCGTGCATTTATAGGAAATTTAAAGATACAAAATTGTGCAGAATGCACGTAGTATGAAAAAGTATCCAAATTATAGTGCTTTTTATAATACCTGGTAGGTGAAACAATTCTCTACCGAAGTTCTACTTTTCTTGCTACATTCTCAAAAATATAAATTTGCATAAAAATCCGCCGTCTACTCGTTGGATATTAAAATAATTGCCTTGAAAAAAATGAGCTCAAAGTGAAATCTACCGTCTCTGAAAGATTCCATTAATACTTCTATCCCCTTTTTCCACACTTTTACCCTCCATTCGTATTCCTTCACTCGTCGTAATTAACGCGGTAGCGAAATAAAAAAATATTTGTCGGTACAATTATAATAAAAGCATTAAATTGTTTCGAGCTATCAAGTGCAGTAAGCAACGCAAATTATTCAAACGTTGATCTGCTTGCAATGTCGCTAAATTTTCCTCTAGAATCAAACGATGTTTCGTATTTTTATATTTCGTTTCTCGATATTCCAATTAGTAACGAATCAAAGCTGCGAAATTGTTCGGCGATATTTAATTAAACTCTCATTGTCGTAAAATGGAGATATTCTAGAACAATATTTTGCGTCGTAAAATAAACGTATATGGAAACATCGCAAAATTGAATATTGTAACAATAAAGAAATTTCATTGCGAAGAAATATATCTTTCGATTTTTGTCCATTCTTCTTTGCTAATTAATTAACTTCTATGTTCCGGTGTGAACCGTTCGAAACTCGTAGCTTTCCATCTTAACGAAATTAACCGCGGTGTTGTCGATTAGCAGAAGAATTATTCAGTTTGGCCGACAGTTGCAAATTCATTTGCGACATTATCGAACGGCAGGTGAAACGCCAGCAAGCGTTTAAAAGCCACTTTAATCCGACCTTTATTTCGTTGGGCATTCTGTTGGAATACTCGGCTAGAGAAATCACTAAAAGCTTCAAAGAGCGCGTAATCCAATTTCCAATGAGAATTGAACTGTCCGCTATATCAAACCACCTACGTAGACGTGACCAAGTTTTCAATGGGACCGACTCGATTATTATTCGAATTGGCGCGATATTTTTACTATTTGCCCGGGTGAATTTCGGACGAACAAACGTTTCATAAAATAAACCACCGTTTGAACGAAGGATCTTTTTGGAGATATTTCTACACTTCGGGGATTGTTTCCTTAATTTCTAGTTGAAAGCACGAATTGGAACATGTAGGAGTAAATTTCAATGGTGGTTTGCAATCGGCGAATGATTGTTTAATTATTTTCTTTGTGTAAATTTTATCTCGATTGTTGGGGAATTATTTGTGCGGTCGTTGAATTCTGCTTTTAGCGGGAAAAGAAGAATTCAAGTGTCTTTGCATAGAAAATTGATATTTCTGTGTATTTGAAAGAATAGAGAATTTTAATTGATAATTGTTTAATTATTTTCTTTCTGTAATTTTTATCTTAATTATTGTGGAAATTATTTGTGTGGTCAATGAATTCTGTTTTTAGAGGAAAAAGAAGAATTCAAGTGTCTTTGCATAGAAAATTGATATTTCTGTGTATTAGAAAAGATAAAGAAATTTTAATACAATAAAAGAATATAAATTTGTATCTTATTTACATAATGCAAAGCTTGTAATACACCTCTTTTTATTCATTATCATTCTCACGAAGTACTAGCTAAACTTTGACGACTTCAAGAATGGGGCGTCGTTAAGTAATCGTAGATTTTTAAACGCAAAGTTGAACGAAATTATAATTTCAAAGTCGATCGTTAATTAAATGCGATAACGTTCATTTTTACAACGACCATTCTTAAAGTCTTTATCGCGAACTTCTTGCAAAGTCCAATATTCTTTATAAATTCAAATGACAACGTCTATTTAGAGAAGCTTCAACCTCCTTCAGGTAGTTACATTTCAAATTCAGAAGATGTCGAATCCAGAATTGCTGGATTCTCCTCCTTCGATTTCTTTCACACCGGAATAACAAGAATGTTCCTCTCGTAGTAAAAAGTGATTCGATATAAAGGAAGGGTTTACGAATCCCCGTAAGGGTTACGAATATTTTATGGATATCTACTTTACTATTTTTCTTCTTTTCTTTGAGAAACTGTTATACTTTGTGAAATTAAATTAAAAATTTCATCCTATTGACCGGTATTTATTAAAATTTTTAAAAAACAACCAAAATATATTGGCGGATTGTTATAATATATTATCAGTTTTAATGCTTGAGTTTTTAGCTTGCAACTCTTGTGTATATTGTACATGTTCTGTTTAAATGAGCATTTTTTCGTTCACTTCATTTATGAAAGTTTTAAATAACAATTTTATTACTTTGCATACGTTGCGAATGATATAATTACAAATTAACTCTCGTTTAAACTAATCTTTGGACTTATAATGGTCCTCTATTCAACGTTCACAATGTTTTAATGCTTTTCACAAATTGTGCCAATTATTTAAATTTATCATTAATAAAATAAGCTACTAATACAAGATTGGGTTTTTCAATCTTTCAACGATGGAGATATTCAAATATTTGCTGTATAATTTCATTGTTAGGTTCTTCAATTTTAATTTAAGAATATTTCTTCCCTCAAAGGTGAATTATCTTCATTACCATCCTTCTAAAACAATCACTAGCAATTCCCTATAATTGAACACACTCAGTTCAGAATATTCATATGCTTTCCGATAAAAAACATCGATCACCAAGCTAACCATACGTTAATCCCAAATCAAATCGAAGTATCCACCATTTTTAAGCTTCCAAGCAACCTGCTTTCAATTCCCAAGGTTCAATCAGACTTTCACCTAAATCTTCCCCCGAGTTCACAAAAACGACATTCTAAAGAAAAGAAGAAAAAAAAACAGGAACGTATCCTGGCTTAAATTATCCTGAACGACTTTCGAGAGAATTTACAGCATCTGTCAGACGAAAACACATCGGGGACCCATTGATTGACCCGAACGTTTCACTCCCGCTTCTTTCTTTCCCTCCAACTCGCTCGTGTTCGCATTATTGGCTCGGTGATGTCAAGCAACGACACTGTTCGCCGGACAATATTAACAAACGCAGACTGGATATATAGCAGACAAGTTTCGTCACAATCCGGCGTTGAATATTTCTAGAATGTTGACGAGAGCCAGAGTCGCGCAAATACGACGAGTTCGCAGTGAAAAGCGTGGAAGCTTTTAAGGGGAAAGTTTTCGCGTTAACGAAAGACATCACCTAACGTCCACCATGCTATCTACCTGACGGAGGACAATTTCTTAGACTGTTCGACATCGTGACTCGAAAATCTCGAAATTTTTCAGCGATTAAGAGACTGCGTTCGTGAAACGTTCCGTTTGAATTCGTTTCAAGGCTAACTTGATGTAGCAACTTTTCTATTTTCAACGTTAAAGTACTTTTAAAATTGAACCATCCAACGACATTTGATTGAAGCAACTTTTAATTAAATGTGCATTTAATTAAACTGATTGTGAGTATCGTTGATTGCGTTTACTGTTGTGAAAGATATGCAAACAGATTTTGATCTATTTTGTGTTTTTTAAATTATGGGTTTGTTCAAGCTGTGTATTCGTAATGATTCTGTGCGGAGATTTCAGTGATTCTCGTGTAACTGTTTTCGTGTTTATTTGGGTCAAGTTCAGAAGTTGTTTCGAACACTCCAAACATGGCTCCATGGAAATTCAAATTGCCGATTACTTATTTTGAATATCGTTTTAATTATTCGAACGTTCCGTTTTGATTTAATTTTTTATTGCAAAACCTGTCGATCCTTTTTTTCATTCGAAAAATCTTTAAATAATTGATATAATTATTATTACTTGCCCAATTAATTTTTGCTCAATTGCCCAATAAATTAGGTTACTTCCTAACCTAACCACTTAAAGTAGGAAAATTATATACAACTTTTTCCTAACTAGTATTACTATAGGTATACATTAAATAGTTATAGCTTAATTTAATAATTCAAAGAGTTGCAGCTTAATTAAACTACTTATTTTACCTGCAATCCATTCACAATTCGCACAATTAAAAATTTTCCAAAAATAATGAAAAATCGCATTCGAACTAACAGAAAAACTATGTGACAACATTCACGAATATAGAATTAAAAAACAGAATAACGTTGATTAGACGCAGAATAACGATTTTAATTAACAATAAATAAAAGTAAACTCGTCAGAGAATGAAAAAAAGCAACCCGTTCGTCATTTCCAGCTCTATGAATGAACTCGCGACAATCAGACGCGTCCTCAACACCGCAAAACAGACTTGCGCATCGAGAAAACAAAGCAATCCATTTCTTACCTTCCATACTCCGTTCCTTCTTCTTGCGCCGCGGCCTCTTTTTCTGCACTTTCTCCGCGTAATTAGAAGACGACGAGTCGTCGCAGCCCGCGACTTCCTGTTTCTCCGCGATCCTCTTCGATTTCTCCTGCCGTTTCTTCAGCAGCTCGTAAACCCTCTTGAAGTAATCCTTAGCTATATCCTCGTTCGACTTGTTCATCAGCACACCTTCGCCATTCGAGTACTCGAAACTACCAACCGAAGCACCATCCACGTCCACCTTCGTATCATTCTCTTCTCCGCCTTCTTCCAAACCTTCGCTACCGTCCACGATCTTAAACGTGTCGCTTTTCTTCACATTCGACCTCGCGTACAGATCCTTGTAATCGTTCAACGTCTTCTTAGGAACCATGTTAGAAGCAGACTCGACAGAACACACATTGGTCAATTCATCTCCATGATTTTTCACTTGAACCTTCGCTAACAAATGATTCTTAGGGCTCTCCGACATTCTATCCACGACCAGATAATTCTCCTGCAAACTGGTGGCCGGTCTGTCGTTCGTAGAATTGTTGGAAATCACGTCAGACGAACGGTTGATCGTTCCATCCTCCGGGATTCCCTCGTTCGCAGGGCTGTCGCGCTGTTTCTCCAACGGATTCACGCAATTCCGCAAGTTCTGACAGATCTTGCAGTTCCTGAACGTGCACAGGTCCGCCTGGAGATCTTTCCACCTAGGTTTGCTCATAAAGTCCTCCTCCTCGTTCGCGTCTCTAGCCTCAGACTCGCGATGCAACCTCTCGTGCTTCTTCCTCTCCTTGTACTCTCTCCAGGACTCGTCGACGTTGTCCTGACTCCTGACGCGCCTCGGAGGATTCTCCTGCTCGGAGTCGAGGCTGCCGCCCATCTGGCCAAGCAACACGTCGCTCTTCGTTTTTCGGTAGAGCTTCCGTTTCTCCGAGGGCTCCCTCGTTTGGGATCTCTGTCGACGATTCGACCCGGTCGTTTCAGCCGCCTCGAGAATCGTCTCGCTCTTGGAACGCCGGTAGACTTTTTGCAGGGACGAGTCCTCGGAACGCGACCTGCCACCGGCCTTCTCCCTCTCGGTTTGCCTCCACGCTTTCTGCCTGTCCTTCTCAACAATCTCCGGATCGAACCTGATGATGTTCGTCTCGCTGCGCACCTTTCGGGTGCGATAACCTCGCGGATCCTCCGGTTGCCTGTAATCCGAGTATCGCTTCTTGATCGCCGACCGCCGCGTCTGCATGTCGCAGCGACTCGAACTCCTCGATCGTTCCTGCTCCATCTTCTGCTGGATCTTCCTCTGCAGGAACGATCTCACCTTCTCCAATTCTTCGTTCCTGATTTTCCTACCCTCTGTCGTATTTCCATCGGGAACCTCGGAGGGTAAGTTCTCTGTTGACTCGGTTTTAGCATCGACACGTTCGTCGTTTAGATTTCTAGATATTTTTGTGTCTTCGTTTTTGATAGCTTGTCGCAGACGATTCAAACCGTCCCTGATTCTCTCGTTACGAATCTCGTCCTCCTTTCTGTCAATCTTTAACTTAGAACCGTCGCTGCTCTCCTCTTCTTCCACGTGAACTAGCTTAGGTAGAATCTCGCTCTGACTTCTCAGGTAAGCTTTAACCTTCTTACACCTCTCTTTTGCGATTGCTTCTGGAGTCTTACCTATCGTGCTCTTCGTTCGAAGGTCGTCTATGATCTGCTGTCGGAGATAGTCTCCACTGGAGTATCTCTTCAAGAATGCTTTCGTGTCTTCGTTTTGTTTCACAGTAGTCTCTGGTCCTCCTGTGTACCTCTTCTTCCCTTTCTTCTCTCTTTCTTTCACGGTCACCTCGCTCCTCGACTTCCGGGGCTTGTAGCCGAACTGGCAAGTGCCGAACTTGGAGCTGAACCCGTCGACGTTCCGGTTCCCCTGCAAGGGAAGCTGAATCACCGTGCTCGGCGCGGACGAGGACGAAAAGGAGGACGAAAGAGTGGAAGGTTTCTCCGGAAACTCTTCGTGCGACGTGAGACCTTCGCGAAACGAGCCTCTGGCACGTTGCGCCGTTCGTCCAGTCGTCTCGACCAACAAACGGCCATCCTTGTCTAGCAGCTGGATGACAGGAAGCGTGTCCGCGGACGTGGTCAGCTCCCACTCCCAGTGGAGCGGCTTGTCCAGCTTCAATCTGATGATCGGTTCCGTAGGTTCATTGGAAGACGAAGAATCCGGATTGACCAGGCTCGACGACGACGTGGCTGTTATAATCGGGTGAGCGTTCTTCATGTTTCCGGTTCTCGCGTTCCCGTGCACACGAGTTTTCGTTCTTGCGGCTGGGTTCGATCACCTTGGAGGCTCGAGGGACACTGGAAACTTTCGGGGATCCTTAACGATTTCGGCGAAACGGTCGGAAAGACGTTTTCAGTCCAGTTAACCTCGCCGTTATAGAGTTTCTTGGTGCTGCTCAGGGAATTACCGTTCGATTATACTTCGAGCACGAGATTGTTGATTTCTTTTTTTTCCATGGGATTTTTGAGAGAATTTTGTGAATTTTTGGGTCGAGTCACGTCGTTGCAGAATTTTTCGTGGCAGCTAGGGGAAGTATCGTTGTTTCATTTTTAGTGTAATTTTCTGCACTTTTATTGTACACTTTTGGGATCAGTATTTTCTCCAGTTTTGAAAATTGAAAAGTTTGCAACGAGATCAACGATTCGGTGTGATTTAATCTGTCACCGTGAATAATTTCTTTTCTCGAATTTTTGAGAGAGCGCCAAGCTTGATTGCAATATTTACCATAATCCCGTGCACTTTTGTCACGATTGCACGCTCTCGGAAGCAGTATTTTCTTCACTTTCGGAAGTTGAAAAGTTCGCGACGAGATTAATGATTCGGTGTGGCTTAAGCTGTCACCGTGAATAATTCCTTTTCTTCGGTTTCTGTAAGTATACCAAGCTTGATATTACGACAGCGAGACATCTCTTCCGGTATTACGCTCGAACGTTCGCTTTGGATTACAAGCGTGCACAGCGATGACAAGCGTATTTCCATAATTCAAAGGGAAGCATCAATATTGAAATATTCACTTCGACATTTATCATGTCAATCATTCTCTTCGCTCTAAAGCACACATATTTCCCAAGAAAACGAAAATATTTCGATCGTTCCAAGGTAACGAACCTATTACTTCTCACTACACAAATTTCTCAAAAAAGAGAGAAGGAAAACCAGTTGAAACATACCCAAAAAGAATCTCCAACGTTCTCAGAACAAAATTTCCGACGTTCACTCGATTGTTCACAGCGGAGAAATTATACCAATCACTCGGTGCTGTTTACGTTTCCTTTGGCTCGCGTTAATCAATTGGCTGTTGCATCGACGATCACACTATTGTACATTGTTCCACGTTCGTTCACGGCTGCCTGTTCACTGGTCCACGTTTCAATTTGCAAGTTATTCCGGTTGCTCGCAGACGCGACGAGCACGATATCCATCGCGCGTAAAACGCGATCGAGAATTATTGTTCGACGGAGAATCGAACGAGCGTTTACGCCGCTTATGTAACGCGGCCTCAGACGCTTGGCAGCTTGTCAGAATCGAGGGAGTTTGACTTTGGGATGTTTCCGAAACGGCTTCATACCGTTCCACTATTCCGCCTCGCCTGTGTTTGCGTTTATTATTCACGGAATCTACAAAGAGTAGTTTTCCTTCACCGGCCGTGGAACGAGTGTTAAGGACCGTGGAGAGGTGCTTCGCGCTACTCGAGAAACAGGTAACACGGCTACGTGTAAATAACACGCTCGCGCGACCGTTGTAACGGCCAAGTATGACAGAAAACGTGAATGGTTTAAGTCAATTGCGAACCTCTAGAGAGATAAGACTCGTTTCTGTGATTTTCGACAAATTAGAGTAGACTAACTTAGATGTGAGATGGTGTAACGTTTCAAGTAGTTATTGTAACTTCAATTCTTCAATTTTTAAACGTTCAGCCGACTCTGAAAATTAATTTCTTTAATTTTCGAAAAATTAGAGAAACTTATTTAGAGATTCTTCAAGGCGAAAAATTGTAATACTTGAGGAGTACTTAGAAAATTATTATAATTTAAATTTTCAATTTTTAAATGTCCGGTTGAATTCGAATATTACTTTTCTTAATTTTCGAAAAATTAGATTAATTTATTTAAAGATTCTTCAATATGAAAAGTTGTAATATTTGAAGGGTAATGAGAAAATTATTGCAATCTCAATTTTCAATTTTTAAATGTCTACTCAAATTTAATTTTCGAAAACTTAGATTAATTTATTTGCAAATTCTTCAATATGAAAGGTTGTAACATTTGAACAACAACGAGAAAATGATTGCAATCTCAATTTCTATACGTCAAGCAATACATAAGATACAAATCTTACTAACACAATTTTCCATTCCTCCTATGTGATAATTTCAAAACAAACTTAAAATCACACTTATGTTAATTCAAAAAAAAAAAACTAGTTCTCCTGCCATTACACAAGTTCCACTTGTACAGCAACATTTCACAAACAAAAGGAAAGCAAAACGACCCAAAAAAAAAAACTAAAAATCAACAGTTCGTTCCACCGAGGACCACGTGTACCGTCGCGACCAAAAACAGTTGAAAGCACCAGAACCGCGAAACGAACGCGCGACAAAACTGCCGAATGTCTGTCAGTCTATAGGATTGCAACGTTCACCGTTGGTTTGTGCATCGGTACTGGGGCGACGCGAGAAATAGCGGGCGGTTTGTGCGGACGCCAAAGTAAGCGTGTTTACAAGCACCGGGTTATAAATAATCGCGCGAGAAATCACGCGGGGCAGCGTGTTAGTGCGGCGAGATTTTTCCAGCGTAGGATATCGTTCGAGATCCCCCCGTTCGATCTCTATCCATTCCTTCGCTTCCTGTTCTCGCCTTGCTACACCAACGCGTTCCAGGAAACCCCTCCTCTATCCTCCTTTCGATTCACCGGAATATCGCTAGGCAAATATCTCTATCTCGCGACTGTATCAACAAACGTCGTACTCTCCCTTCTTCCACGGTAAAACTCGGCCAGTTAGAACTGCGCGAACCACTAAAATCGAAGGTGTCCCGGTTTCCATCGGTGTCTCGCGAGCCACTGTACCCTACACATCTCAAAATATCTCGGAAGGCATAGCTGGTGGCCGGTCGAAACGAAAAACTCGCCGCCATACTACTCGAGGAACAGCTGCTTCGCGGTACTCGTCGATTCTTGACAAACAGCCAACCACACAGTTAGGTAAACGTCACTCGTGTCGCTTGATCCAGCAACGAGAACAACAACAACGACGATCGACGAAGAACGAACGAAAGGATAGACGACGAGAAAGCCGCGCGTGGAATTTGGCTCGCGAGTTGTTCCACGAATGGTTGGTTGTATCGATCGATCGATCGATGGATCGATCGTTTATCCATCGCGTGCTCGATCCTCGTGTGACTCGCATACGAGCCTGCCGCGGATTCACTGTGGCCTCAGAGCGGCTGCGTCGCGGCATCGCCGTGTAAACCCACGCTGCTACCGTCATACCGATCCTAAAATAAATCCCGCGGGATC